TTTAAATCGTAAAATTGAAATATGTTTTTTTTTGTTTTGTTATTTTTTTGTAATTTATATCAATCGATCGATAACATGCTCAGTTATAATTATTATGGAGCGTTGATATGGACCGCACCAAGTCCATTCTCTAACACTGGACTTCTAAAATAAAATCTTGAAGTTCTGAAAATAATGCGATACTGTTTAATATGTGTGTTTGCTCTGATGATTTTTTTTAGATATAGGAACTCATGGTCTTATTCTCTTTCCTCAAATGACTCTTGAGCTGTTTTTTTTTTTTGTTTTTTTTTCATTTTCCTATACTATTCGGCCAGCTGGTCCAGGGTTATTTGTTAAACAAGGGCCGACCTACTGATCTTTTTTTGCTTTCTGACGAGCTTTGATTAACTCTTTCGTGGTTTGTATCAAGATTTGCGAGTTTCATTTTAAAATGCTCTCGGACAGGCCCTTACACTCTATCCAGCTACCAGATGGAAACAAACCTGTTCGAGTTAGCTCCCTTCCTTTCAACCGTATCTCCTGAAGATTGTACACTGCATGTCTCTGACTGAATTGATACAGTGAACATGAAATAAGCGAGAAACATACACAAAGATTGGATCTGTGATGAAATGGAACATCGCTTTAAAAAAATATTCTCAAAGCGTTTGCATTCATATCATTCGTATTCATATCAAGCGTCAGTAATATAATTTTTATCTAAAAAGCTTGTCTCTCCAAAATGTATAATAACATTTATTTTGACAGATGTATTAGCAGATTATTTAGATGAAATATTTTTAGAGTCATCTAATTCATTGACTTAATATATAATATATCTTCATATATTATTAATAAGCTTAGGATATTTCATGACTTTGAACGAAAAATTAAAAAAAAAAAAAAAAAAAGTTTTCACAAAGATACGATTGATCTCTGTGGGAATCGTAAATTTTCTCCATAAGATTTTACATTGTAAGGAATTGTCGTTACATCTAAGGGTTCTTCGATTAAAAATTTTTTTGCCTCAGTGTTCATAAAAAAGCGTTATCATGGCTAAGCGTCATTTAATTACGTGAACGTACTGTGTATATGCAAGTCGTATTCAATCATGATATGGTGCTTATTGGCGTCCCGTATTACGACCTGTCAGCAGACGAATGAAAGTTTAAATTGACTGTATTACAGGTTAGGGCGTATACGCACTAACACTATATCCGTCATAGCTTCTTTATTGACGAGTTTGTAAATAGCTCGGGTAACCAGTGTAAACACAGGTAAATTAATAGCGCATTCCGCATTTATCGTCCGGTGTTGTTTTTCTATGTGTGAATTATATTATCCCGGAAGCGCTTTCACAAGTAGGCACATGTACCGGTAGACAACTAAATCGTCCCGTGAAAGTTTGTGTAATGTGTGCGAACTTGTTCTGTAGGGATTGTGTAGTGACCATTGATTTGGTCGTAGCGACATTGTATAGTGGTCGCAGTTAGCGACGGGTGGAGACTACAATCAGGTTGATTTTAATCAAATGAGTGAAGGGTGGACATGGAGAGGCTAACGGTAACAGGTAAACACTGTGACAGTCTCGCCTTCAACATTTTCCTGTTCGGTGGAATTTTTCTCTTGTGTTATGAAGCCTTATTCGTTCTGCCTTCTTATGATCCTGGAAAGGTCCAGTATGTATGGTTACACTACATTGTAGCCGGGTGGCTTGCCTTTAGTATCTATGGAAACATGTACAAGCTAAAAACCACGAATATTGTGTATAAAGGACGGAGGGATGACGGAGTGATTTCCAACAAACCTCGCGGATGGAAATACTGTCGCGTGTGTGTAATGGACACTCCTCCACGGTCACACCACTGCAAAGTCTGTAATGTATGTATCCTTAAACGGGACCACCACTGCTGGTTTGCTACTGGTTGTATCGGTTACCATAACCACCGTTATTATGTTGTCATGGTAACGTATATGGTCATAACCGGTGTGTATTGTAACTTGTTCAACTCCGACTTCGTGAGTTCCGTTACGGGAGGCTTTAGTGTGTTAAATGTGATATGGTTCATGGGACCACACGTAGGATGGGTGTTTGGGTACTTGGACGGCTACGAATTTTTCGTCTACACGCTTAGCTCTGCCGGGATAATAATGACGGTGCTGTTTACATGGCTTCTAGTAATACAAATTATACAGATACGCAGTGGACAGACTAAATATGAGAGAACTATGGGAATACACAATTACAACATCAGAAGACAATGGAATACGGAGGAAGTGTTTGGGGAGAAGTCATTTCTTGTGTTTCTGTCACCATTTTTGAATTCTGCTTTACCGGGAGATGGCATCATATTTAGTTCCGCAGATTGAAATGAAAACAAACAAGCAAAGAAAACAGTAAAAAATGCTTGTCATGATTTCTCGTGAAATGTTCTGGATAATTTCATATTACTGTAGAAAGTGCTTCTCCAATCGATAATGCTTAGTTTCAAACTGTCGTTGACGGACCGGGTCTGCAATAAAATCTGCTTGATTATATTACTTGAACAAATATGGACGCTTTTTAAAAGGGGCGTGGTAATGGATTCTTGTGACAAGTTGATTGATCTCATTAATTTATCGTGATGTTTTCGTTGTATTCAATGAGGATGGAAAACATTCACAATGTTATACCTTAATTTGGTGAATCATTTTGAACTATTTTTTTTTATGTATAAAGAAGTATAAAGAATAAATGATTTTGATAAATATAATTTATTGTATTATTTAGATAGCGCTTTATAAAACAAAAATGCCCTACAGAAGCCCGTATGTGTCATATCTCTCTCTCTCTCTCTCTCTCTCTCTCTCTCTCTCTCTCTCTCTCTCTCTCTCTCTCTCTCTCTCTCTCTCTCTCTCTCTCTCTCTCTCTCTCTCTCTCTCTCTCTCTCTCTCTCTCTCTTCAAATTAAAAGGAAGTAACGGTCATTCTACTGTACCAGTGATTTTACATTAAATTTTAGAATAAGTGCAGGAAGATTGCGCTTAAAAACTGCACGAATTATGTTCAGGACTATCATTGAAGTTTTCTTATCTTTGGGTTATCTCCCTTTACCTACATTTTTTTATCATCGAAAAATAATACAGGAAAACGCATTAAAATGATTTGGTATTACAGACACTCGTTCAGCATTTGCTATTACCTGACATAAAATATATATCCTTAATCGGGCACCCCTATGTAATATTGGTGTCTTGAATTACTCGATGATCGTTCTTTCTAGTGTGTTGTTGTCGTCAAACAATTTTCTTTAAAGATAATCATTTCATGTCAGATTGGACTGTTCTTTAACTAAAACCTACTTAGATCTGAGCGTGTCCACCCTAACCATCGATCCCCACAAAGCTTTTATATGACCTCAGTTGACAAAATGGACATCTTTCGTAATTTTTGATGACTTTAAGTTGAAGGTAAAACAGTTGTGGTAACATATTACTCGCCTAAACCTTCATGCTACAGACATCGGTACATCGTCCGCACTCGCGCACTATACACTATCGCACGTACAACTGTGCGATAAGAGAGCACATTTTGCACGGCTGGCTAATATAACGGATTGAAAATTAAACTCTTGTAATTATATAACTTAATAGTACAACAAAACTAAAAGTTAACCGGTAATTTTAAAAGCAATTATTAATTTGACAGTTTTCAAAAAAGGACTGGACCATGCATTGATTCGTCTTTCTATCCTATGATTTCTTACCTCAGACAGTGCCGAGTGGTGTGCCTCGAGCATAGAAAAATACCAGTATACGGATATAAACGTAACATGTCCGGATCCGTATCGGCAACGTCTTCCAACAAACAGGACATTTGAAATTTACATAAGTATACATTTTTGTTTACAAAATGACAGAAATGTAAGTTATACATAAGCAATACAAAAATATTAGATTTCCTTTCTGACGGTGTTACATTCCTTACAATTCATTGCAGAGACAAAAAGAGACGTCCATTTGATTAAGTCTGTATTTGGTAGATCTACATATAGATTCATGACTCTATAATGAAGTTTACTTAGTTGCACTGTTGTATTTAGAAACCTAGGAAAATCCTAACTTATCTATAAGTCATTTCTAAATTTATATCAACCATGATAAATTGCACATCTGTGCGATAGAACCGCACAACGTGTGCACAGATTCGCGATGCTTTATTCTGTCCAGTTTCCCTGTCATGCGCATATCTTGCATACATTGTCTGCACATTGCACATATCGTAAGGTTGTGCTTTCTCAAAACTGTAAAAAAATACCTCTAATCCTTCCGATACTAATTTGTGTGTATGAAGATCGAATGTTTCCTCGGATGAAAATCTCCATGTAACAGAAGGAGCTGGCATCTTTCTTCAAGTCTCCTTTGCGACCTTTCTCTAAGAATATATTGACTTCAGTGATAAAGAATTTAAAGTGCGTTCTAATTTCGGGACGGTATACGGTGTGTTACTATCAATTATATCGACTACACAGCCGAAAATATCACGGGAAGTTATCCCGACTGCACTCAATGTTCAGGGAAACACGACGTGGCCAGTTATATTCTGTAACAATCACAGACAAACCATATTTCACAAGAATTGGACGGAGAAACCCGCGCGGCACAATTACTGTGAAGATAGTCACAAACCATAGTGTATTTCTCCCGATGTCTGCAAAATGAAAGCATGTTCACAACTGTTCCGAATGCTAATTCATCATCAAAAGAGTCGGCCATATTTTCCCAGTGGTCAATTTAACCTCGCACCGATTCGAATACTTGAACATGAAAATGCATGATTATCAGTTCTGTTCTGGAAATTCTGTTATTGAATATCTCGTAATTTGAGGAGAGACCACTCATATCTACGCTGAAGACCTTTACATTAAGTTATAGAAAGTCATTATTCATGAATACTTTAAATGAGTTTTTTCCCTAACATGATCCAAGCCGGAAGCACTGTCTGGAACATGAGTCTGAACAGATATAGTATACTAATATCCGGTACGACCATTGGACCAGTCTTTCACTGTGATTCACGTCCATTCATTCCCCACGTGCTACACGGTATCTTTCAATGACAACCAACATGCTATTCAAGATTTTTTTTCCTACTCTTAACTCCCTGATTGAAAGAAAAGTTAGCGACCATAAAACTATGGCTGGTCGTACGTTCGGCAGGGTCACGCAAATGTAGGCACTCGGTGCCGTCAAAACTCATTACGTGGTAGAAGCTGATTATAAACACTAAGAGATTTCGTTATTTGCTCAATCATTGAACAGTCATCATTTTGTATTCATGCAAATATGAATGCCAGCAGGATGGCATAAATATAGTGATGAGTTAGTATTTGTTATAGTTTAATGATCATCCTGAATGCATTCATATCGACAATAAATGCAATCAAACAACCATTCATTAGTTAGTATTTTCGATTAAGATATTTTTGGAAATGTTCTATTTTATAAAGGTAATTTACAGTATGTCTATTTACTGGAAGAGCTTTGTGAAAATCTAAGCTATTTATGTAAAGCTGTAATGTGTGTTACCTTAGGTGACGTCCAAAGTGCTGACGTAACATAGGTCAACATGACGGCAAAATGACTCCATTTTAACACACCTGTGATTAAAATCCAGATTAACATACACAATGTAACAATGTAAATATATCGAAACTGAAAGTAAAAAAAAAAGAACCTTCATATCTGTACATGTATGAAGGTTAGAATATGTTTTTCAGTCTCAATATGATTATTGCATTGCATGTACATTATCCCGCAGACAGAGAATGAGTAGAGTCATTATTGCTCCATTCGGTACAGAGTTTAGGATCTGATTCTTTTTTCTCTTCTTTGTACCTCCTTTTATGCTGCCTCACTTTGGACTTTGGTTGAGCGTTTGCCACTGTGAGAAAGGGCTTTGGTTTATATGCCTTTAACGCGATATACCTGGTAAAAGGACGAAAACCTACTAAATCGGAAAGACGCGGAACGCCAAAACAGGAATACACTTTGACATTTTTTTCCCACTTCGATTTGGCGACCGTGTCATCTTCGTCTTTTCACTTTGACGATTTTTGTGTTTTTTCTAGACCGCTTTTTCCTCACAAAATAGCCAAAACGACATATTTCAATTACCATAATGAAACGCTAGAGGTATCAGTCACTTTCATACTCGTTTTTTTTAAATTGAGTTTCTCGAGATTTCATCGAAATATCTGTTCTAATGTTATAACGAAACAGAAATTGCATTTGGTCGTTTGATAGTTAATGAGAAAATATTGGACTGATAAGTCAGCTCATCGATGTTGTAAGCGATTGTTTCGGAAAGTCGAGATTTGGATAATTAATGCTGTTATGAACGTGATGTTGTTTTTGCCAATGAAACAAACATTTTCGGATGTAACGCAGTGGCTGTTTTTTTTTTAATCTGACTACAAACATGATATTCTGTCTAATGATAATGATACGTCACGAAAAGACCCATTGCTGACGCTAACCTAACTGTTACTGCCTGGAGAAAATGGCTGTAGATTCTCGGTCATCTAATTGAATACACATTCGGAACTCCTCTTCTCTACCTTGATAATAATTAATAGTGCAAAGGAAACATTTATCTCTTCAAACCCGACCTGTGTACTGCTACAAACGAAATAATTCCCATTGAAATGTTGTAGAAGAAATTACAGGGAATTTCCTTGCAATGTTGAGATAAAATGTTGTGTAAATGGCCCGAAGGGGACATATCGAATGGCGTCGTTTAAACAACCGAACAGCATTTGTTTTATCTTAGTTTGTGAGAATATAATCACCATTAGAATAATGAATGGAATTTATTGTTTGTAAACAAATGAACAATCTCAGGGAGGGATATTTGCAGAAATGCCTGTGAAAACAACCAAAAGACTTTTAATTTTGTTATTGAATTTACGTGTTTGATACACTTTACGTAATGTTGCTATGTTATCCCGATATTTACAGTCGATTTCAAACGTCCAGCTTGACCACTTTATTTTGGTTCGGGAAACCCCTCTAAAATTCAGCGGTGATAACATCACTCTATAGGTTTGAAAACAAGGCTGTTCATTTTGTAAACATGGACGCATGATGGCGGGCAGAAATGACAGCAACAGTATTGCCACAGTCAGCTCTAGATATGGATGTGGCACATGCTATCTGAAAACTCTAAAACAATTCAGAATTACAAAATTGATAACATAATCCCCAACCGAATCAGGCGGTAAGCAATTTGTGTTTATCATGTATGTCGCTTTAAAAGTTTTGATGAAGGTGACAGTGCGGTCAATCTTAGTTTTCTAATTGGAGGCGATCTAAGAGCATATGACCAATGTTCATTTACAAC